TTCTTCATCAAAAAGAAAGACGGATCACTGAGGCTCGTACAAGACTACAGGAACCTCAATGCAGTCACAAAGAAGAACAAGTTCCCAATCTCATGCATTTCGGACCTCATCGACAGACTCTCATATGCTAGCATATTTACGAAGCTTGATCTGAGATGGGGGTTCAACAACATAAGGATTAGGGAAGGAGATGAAGAGAAAGCCGCCTTCATTACACATCGTGGCCTTTTCGAACCCACTGTAATGTACTTCGGTTTTTGCAATGCTCCTAGCACCTTCCAAACAATGATGAATACAGTCCTCGAAGACTTAATTCGCACTGGAAAGGTGGTAGTCTACTTAGACGACATCCTCATATTTACGGACGATCTCGATGAACACCGACGACTAGTGAAAGCAGTTCTACAGCGCCTCTGGGACAATGACTTATATGCTAAACTGGAGAAATGCTTCTTTGAACAGTCCTCAATCGAGTATCTTAGCATGATCATCAGCAAGAACTCAGTACAGATGGACCCTGCTAAAGTCGAAAGTGTACTTGGCTGGCCCGCACCGACAAAGGTCAAACAAGTACAGGCCTTTTTAGGATTCGCAAATTTCTACAGGCGATTTATAAAGGACTTTGCGAAACTCGCACAACCTTCAACGCTTCTCACCTGTAAGGACGTGCCCTGGCAATGGAAGGAAGAGCAAGACCAAGCCTTCAGTGCACTTAAAACGGCGTTCACTTCAGCCCTGATCCTACAACTCCCCAACGACACTGCACCATACCGTCTAGAGACAGACTCTTCAGACTATGCAACTGGTGCAGTACTCGAACAACTAGGGGAGGACAAGCTATGGCATCCAGTCGCATACTACTCTAAGTCACTCAACGAACATGAGCGGAACTATGAGATTTATGACAAGGAGATGCTTGCTATTATTCGGGCACTCGAAGAATACAGGCACTATTTAGAAGGACATCCAGAACCCATTGAGATTTGGTCGGACCATCTCAACCTTATATACTTCCATCAGGCACAGAAATTATCCTGGCGCCAAGCGCGCTGGTCATTATTCCTCACCAGATTTAATTTCATTCTCAGTCACTGACCTGGAAAGACTATGCTACGTGCTGATCCTCTGTCCAGGAGGCCAGACCATGAGAGGGGGGTAGACAGCGACAATTCGAACCAAATGCTGTTAAAACCTGAATTTTTCGCTATCAATGCGATTCGACCTGCTCACGCATCTGAAGTTGATGATGCTCAACTACTGGAAAGGATCAAGAAGGCACTCACAGACGACATGATGACCAAGGATTATCGTGCGCTTTTGACTACAGGACAGCGTGAATTTGGAAAAAACCTCACAGAATGAAACTTTGAGCATGGACTGCTGCTCCATCGCGGAAAGGTTTATGTCCCCAAGAATCAACAGCTATGCCTTGACCTAATAAAACTCCATCACGACACTTTACCAGCCGGACACCCCGGCAGGTTCAAGACGTTGGAGCTTATTACTCGGAATTATTGGTGGCCAGGAATGTCTGTAATGGTTAAACAATACGTACAAGGTTGCGACAGTTGTCAACGCAACAAGTACTCAAGAGAAAAACCATACGGACTACTACAACCAAACGAGGTACCAGGAGGACCATGGGAGATCATCACAGTAGATCTCATCACACAACTTCCTCCAGCCATGGACTTTAGGGGAGAAAAGAAGACGGCAATACTTGTCGTCGTGGACAGACTCACGAAGCGAGCGCACTTTTATACAACGGATGATACAGTCACATCGTCGCAAGTCACTAACGTATTCTATAATGAAGTCTTCAAACTCCACGGATTGCCACGCCAAATTATCTCAGACAGAGGTACTCAATTTGCGAGCAAACTATTCCAGGAGTTTTGCCAGAAGCTCGGTATAAAGTCAACAATGTCCACTGCATATCACCCCCAGACCGATGGTCAGACAGAAAGGGTTAACCAGGTGTTGGAACAGTATCTGCGAATGTACTGTAACCATAGACAGAACGATTGAGTCTATTATCTACCGACAGCAGAATTTTCATACAACAACCAGACCCATGAATCCATCG